AAGAAAAGTAATGTTTCCATTTTGTTTATAACAGTAGAAAACTAAGTAAAAATCATGAACATGTAATTTCACAATTAATTTTTCATTTTTAAGTTTTTAAAATGTGCATTTTAATCTGATCATTACCACACATGAAATATATGCTATATTTTTTATTTCTATTGTGCAAAATTAATCAGAAATACAGCAGATATAAGATGCTTTGATTTTTGTCTCTGAACAAAACTACGTAAAGAATCTTAATGTTTTATCACACCAAGAAAGACAATGGAAAATTCTAAATTAACTTAAGGGTAACACTACAAATGTTCTTTGCAGAGAGAGAGAGTAACGTGCTCTCCAATTCTGACTATTCAAAAATATTGTTCAAAAATATTTTCCTACATCACTAGAAAATAAAAGCATGACTTGACAGAATATAATTTCTCCCCCACACATTAGTTCCAAATACCATTGTGGAACTGAAATCTTTTTACAAAAGAACCTGACATATTTTATAGGTCTATTAAATTAGCAAACAAAAATCACTATCTTCACAAACATTTTACACTAATAGTCATAAACAAGTCAGTCTTAATGGACTTTAAAATTCACTTCGCATTCAAATATAATAATTCTAACCCAAACGGTAGGCAAGGCATCCATGACACAATGAGTAGGCTGAGCTCCTGAAATGAGGTGACACAAATTACTGCAGTGACACAAATTCCTAGTCACACTGTAAACCAAAGACATAAATTCACTCACAGGAGATCCTCAACTTCCTGCGAAGTAAATTCATTACACTAGCTAATATGCAATCAGCCTAAGTTTCACCAATTTATGTTTTTTCAAAGATGCATGTTTTACAGAAAAAAATGCTTTCAATAAAGATTTTGAAGATAAACTTAATATTAAATTTACAAATCAAAAATACATGAATATCTAAATATCTAAATATTTAGATATTTAGCCATATATAAAACACCACAACAGTACAATAGATGTGAATAAATAGAATGAATTTATAAGTAGATTAATCCTATGAAATTGGTCAAAATACATCTGTGCTGTGAAAGGCTGGTAAGTTTTCAGACCAATGACAAATTTTACTGTGAACCAAGTAAAAAGAAAGATCACTCTGTCAGCAGAAGACCTGCTGAGGAATAGTATGCATGGCATTAATTGGAATGAGAGTAGTATCTCCTATTTCAAAATGATGTCTGGAAGATTAAAAACAAACAAACAAACCCAAAGCACCATTCTACCTCAACATGTATAGGCTGGGACAAAATACGTTTACAGCTGTGAGTATGTGAAATAGTTTATGCTTGTTATTATTTTCCACATGAACAACTGTAAACCCACATATGCCCCACACTATATATTAGATGTAATCTACCTATATCTAAGCTGGCTGAGAAGAAAAATGTACCACAAAACATTTTACACAGCCTATTTTTTATTCTGACTATAAGCAAACTGCAGGCAATTTGAAAAAGCATAAATTACAACTGTACTAGCAAACGACAACTGTTATCTTTTTATTTCTTTCTAGTCTTTTTTGTAACACTTACTGTAAAGTAAAAACTCCAGTTTGTAACTTAACATTGTGACATTTAGACATTGCCATTATTAAAAATTTTATTGGTGTTTTAAAGCACTGCTTCTCACTCTGAAATCACACCTCTTTTCAGGTTCTGCAAGGAAACATACCAGTGTACCCTTGAAGCAGATCTGCTAGACTCAGAAGACTGTTTTAAAAGAAATTCCACCACAGACTGCATCAGGGTCTCTGGGTAAGAAAATATAATTTTAAAAAATCAGGGAGTTTGCCCTGGCTGGTGTAGCTCAGTTGGTTGGGTGTCTTTGCAAACCAAAAGGTTGTTGGTTTGACTCCCAGTCAGGGCATGAGCCTGGGTTCACAGCTTGATCCAGCCAGGGCGCCTACAAAAGGCAACCGATTAATGTTTCTCTTTCACATGTTTCTTTCCCTCTCTCTACCCCTCCCTTCCCCTCTCTCTAAAATCAACAAAGAACAAAATATATATTTTTAAATTTTATTTATTTATCTTTAGAAGGGAAGGGAAGGAGAGAGGGAGAGAAATACCAATGTATGGTTGCTTCTTGTGCATCCCCCGCTGGGAACTGGCCTGCAACCCAGGCACGTGCCCTGATGGGAAATCGAACCACGATCTTTTCGTTCACAGGCCCATGCTCAATCCACTGAGCTATACCAGCCAGGGCAAAAATATTTTTAATAAAAATAAAAATAAAAATCAAGGAGTTTAAATCTCACAGAATTCCTGAGTTTTCAGGTTGATAGTACCTAACTGGTCCTTACTTTATCACATAATTGAATAAGCTCAAGATTAACAATGACAATCAGTTACAGTTATATTATGCTTTCCCCTTTGCAAAACTCCTATGTACTATCATTTCATTTTCATTAACTTATAAAATAGGTATGAAGGAAGTAAAAAATACATATAGGTAGTTATAGTCACAGGGGTATAAAGTACAGCATAGGGAATATAGTCACTTATATTGTAATAACTACGTGTGGTGCCTGGCAGGTACTTGAAATGGGGTGGGGATCACTTTGTAAAGAACATGACTAACAATTATGCTGTACACCTGAAACTAACACAAAATAATATTGAATGTCAACTGTAATTAAAAATAATATTAAAAGGTATGTATATATAATCTCATATCAAAGATGTAGAAAACAGGTATGAAGAATTTAAACGACTTAACAATATTCACCCAATCAACTTAGAACTAGAAATCAGGCATTCTGAATTACCAGCCTCCTTTCTATTTGTGTTTAATCAACATTGGTGTTTATATTAAGATGACACTGTGAAAGACAAATGTATATTCGTTAAAATACTCTTGTAAAAACTAAAACTTGATCTTTTAAAAAACACAATGTTGCATGTTTAATTCTAAAAACAAGACAATTTTCTCAGAGGGAGACAGAAAACATACTATACTATTTAAAGATTTTTAAAAAAACATGATATAAACACTTTCAGGTATGGAAATAAGCAAAAGAGAGTGTTCCACTTAGGTGATTATACTCCTCTCTGCATCAAGTTACCTTCCATTTTTTGTCTCAGTTTCCTCTATTTGAAATGGGACAGTACCTATCTCAAATGGCTGTGGTGAGGATTGAGCTAATACATGTGAACCACTGGTGCTGTGCATGCCACAAAATAAGCCCCAATAGCTGTGAGCCATATATAAGCCTGTTTTTCTTTTTTGCTACTAGGAGGAAAATATTGGGCTAGCCAGAAAGTCTGTTTAATTTTTTCCATAAAATAAAAGACACATTTTTCGTTTTCACCAATTACTTTATTGATTTGGATACTTTGAGTACATGGACTGTCTCCCGTTATTGGCTCCTAGTGGGCAGAGGACAGGGGTGCTGCTAAACACCCTGCGTAAGACAGTCCCACAGCAAAGAACTATTTGGTCAAAACGTCTATAGTACCAAGAAACTTTGCAAACCACTTTTGACACATTCCATCAGTCACAGCACCTTCTTTTTTGCATTTCAGTTGCATTTTTACCTTTCTTGAAGCAATAAAGCATAATACCCCAAAAATGTTGTGTATTCTCTTCTATCTTCAATATTAAAATGGCTGCACAAAAATTCACTGATTTTGATAAGTTTTTTTAATGTACACTGATATGACAGCTGTCACAATACAGTTTAACAAAATTATTTCAAATGAAGTTAAAGACAACTAAGCACTACCCCAAGCATCCTAGGGGAAAAACTAAGCCAACCTTTTGGCCAACCCAATATAAGCACAAGCTCTAAAATGTCAATGGAGGGAAGGATTTCCCACTGTAATTAATAAAGGGCTGATGTTCAAAAATTCAATGGAGATTATCTAGCTAAAACTAGAATGCTTAACATCTACATTGCACAGAACTTAGTCTAGAACTAAAAGAGGTCGGTTTACCAAATACGTTTTTTCCTTAGAGGAGATATTATATTTCCATAGGCTTGTCAAAGTTTCAGCATCATCATAATGACAACCTTGTGGCCATGATTCTATACTTTATTGAGAACGTGGAGATCAATTAAAAAACAAAACAAAAAGCCCTTTCCAGAAAAAGTAACAATCCTCACTTGCAATAAGGTAGGAAATGTATTCAATAACTGACACCAAACTCATTCAAAAATTGCGGGTCTCTGCCTGAACTAAAAGGTGGGAGGTGGAGGAGGTATCAGCTCTGCATTCTCTCTCTATCACAGTGCGTATTTAATAAACAGTTTTGCTTGCTACTGGAAAAGGTTTTCCAAGGATTGTTGATGGGGGAAAAAAAACCCCAACAAACTTTTGTCCCTTTCTGGTTGGGCTTATCCTTTTAACGTGGAACGTTCCATTTAGGCAACATAGGAGGTTTCAGTGGGTCAGAGCCAGCGTTTGACCCAGGCAACCTAAACCACTATCCTGACCAACAGGCAGGGAGGGGTTGTAAAGGGCACATTCTGAATCCAGGGCTCAAGTAACTAGAATGAATTTCGTTCGCTTTTGAACCTGAGCACTTTCACAAAAGACAATTATCGCCATTTGCCTTGAACAGATTTAAGATGCTATTTAATTACCTTGCCTTCCTCCTGTCTATCCATCCCTTTAGCTTTACTTTAGGCGTAACATCTTCAAAACTTCTCTTTCTCCTCCCAATTCTTTTCTCCAATAAAAGAATCAAATACCAAAAAGGAGGCCTTGATAGCAGGGTCTTACTTCCTTCTTTTCAGGAAAATGAATGGCCTTGCCAAAAAGTAAATCCGCGCCAAGCTGGAGGACCAAAGGCTGATCTCACCTTTGCAACTCAACCTCACAACTACCCCGCCAGGACTGCCCACGCGTGGAAGCGCACCGCGCCTTTCGCAGCGAGTCCGCTAACGGCCTGCAGACCTGGCTCCCCGCAGGCTCTCCCCGCGCCCCCCGCCGCCTATGGGGCTCCACGCACCGGCGCATTCCCTGGGGACCACTCACCTTGCTGAGCTCCAGCGTTCTTAAGCAGCAAGAGAAGGATAAGTAAGAGCAGAAGATACAGAGGCATAGGGAAGGAGGGGCAGTTGGAGCGGGGTGGGAGGAGGCAGGAGTGAAAATCAGGGAGCGCGGCCCGGACGGAGGCGGCGGCCACGGCCCGGACTTGGGGACTGTGGGGGCTGCGCCCTGATCTCACCACCGTCCGGCTCGCCATCGCGGCGGCCGGCAGTCCGCCTGCATAGTGCGGGCGCCCCGTGGGTCCCCTGCACTCAGGGGCCGCAGTACCGAGCAAGGAGGCGGCGGCTGAAGCGAGAGAGCTAGAGGCAGCACGCGCCTCGCCCCGCGCCGGGACCCCCCTCTGTCCCTCACTCCGCTTTTGCCTCCTCCTTCGTCCCTTCCCTGGGTTCCCGGCCCGAGACCCCAGGCCGCAGAGCTGCGCGGAGGAACCGCGGTGCTAGAGTTGCGGAGGATGGCTGCGGGGGAGACGAAAAACTAGACTCTCGCACCCCGTCCCTCAAGCCGACTTCTGCCCGCCTAGCTCTCCCGCTGCTCTGGCTAGCTGGCAGGCCGGCACCCTCGCTCTCCCTCTAACGCGCTCTGGCCACGCCTCCTCGGCCGCCACCACCAATCCTCCACCAGCTCCGGTCCCTCTCCTCCCCTCATCACCCAATCAACACTCTCTCCCCTCAGTCGACCAGTTAGCTCCGCTGCCCCGCTACTCGAGCTCATCTCTATCCTCCAATCCCCTGAGGCCTTGAGAAGCGTCCCACCCGCCTCCCCCAATCTGGGTTCCTCCCCCAAGCTCCAGCCTCTGGCGGCCCCCGCCTGGCCTGGAGATTTGTTATTGTTGGGACCTCAGCCCAAGCTGATCCCGCAGAGGCAAGCTCGCTTTGGTCAAGGACTTCCGGGACTTCCCCCATCCCGCTTTCCCGGCTCTTCAGGCTGGGCTTGCGTATTGCTCCTCCCCCGCCGCGCATCAGGCCACTGGAAGGGGTGGGAAACCTGGATCCTGGATGCTTTTAGCTGGGAACTGAGTCTAAAGGACTTTTTTTGCTTTCTTTGTAAAAAATAGCAGAGTGGATTTTTTTCTTAAATAAAAGCTACTGACAATTATTGCGGCCACTCCGAGTGATCAATTAAAGCTACTGATCAATTATTGCGGTCACTGATGTGTTCAATTAAAAAGATATATGTATTCACTGTTTCCAATGCCTTTTACTATATTTATTAAACGGGGGCGGGGGAACAAAAACTAAAAATAACAAGATATATGCCCCCAAGTAATGTAAATTCACTTAGCCATTCTAGAGTTGTTGAGCACCTGCAAACCCTGTGTTATGAGGTGTAGGAGTTGCTGCTATAATACACAGACGTCTTCTAGGATCTAATGTAAGGGCAGAGATGGAAATACATCATGAAAGGCAAAATAAAAATGCTAACTGGAGTCACAAACAATTTGACGGATACTGTCAGGAGATAGAGTGACAAAGAAAAAAAAACTGGTCTTTGGGAAAGCGGAATCCATAGGACTAGATGATTGGTTTTAGAGGGGAGAGAGGTGCTATCCTGGATGCTTTCCACATGGGTTTCTAAGGAGGATGATTTCATTAATAAATACAGGAAGCTGGAAGGTGGAGCAGGATGTGTGGGAAAGTGAGTTAATTTGGGACATACTGCATTTCAGCTGTACACCTGGCTAAAATGTGAAGCTATATAACAGACATGTGTACATTTTGATCTAAAGCTTAGGATGAAAGTGCCTTGAAGTTATGGGGGGGGAGTCATGGATAAAGGTAATATTTAAAACTATAGAGGAGACTGATATCCTCAAATGAAAATGTGAAAATTGTAACGGACTTTGGAAGTCATCTTTTTCAGCTCCCCTGCAGACCCCTCATGCTTTAAACCCTTCTACCAAATTTACTTAATAAGCATTTATTGGATGCCTATTAAACCCTGCTATGCTTTAGTCCTAATGGAGGCAATGGACATGCAAAGTTTAATCAGAGGAGGCAACCATGTAAATGAATCCACTGATACCTATGGCATGTTGGAAATATGGGCTGATGCCACAATGCCACATTGGGAGGATTTTTAAGGAACCCATTATGGCAAGAAGAGACTCCAGCCGTCTTGAATAAGACAACAAAGTAAGAGAGATGATCTCAGGTCAGAGGCAAAGGAGGCTGGGTTACAGGTGAATGGTGGTGATGGAGCCACTTGTGCTAGGACTTGTAGCAGCCGTGGTTGACTCCATTCCTTGACTGGTAAATGAATTTATGCTTTGATAAAGGCTCTGGGAAAGACTAGGGCTTCAGGAACGGAACACGTGGAATAGTTATATACGAAATATATAAACATAAGCTGTGTATTATTTTAATGTATTTGTTTACTCCATGCTAAACATAAATATAGGTTCTCAATCTAAATTTTGATTTACCAGAACTTTTCTCCCGTCCCTCTTCTGTCTCCATTTTCCCCTCATTTTCTTTCTTTCTTTCTTTCTTTCTTTCTTTCTTTCTTTCTTTCTTTCTTTCTTTCTTTCTTTCTTTCTTTCTTTCTTTCTTTCTTTCTTTCTTTCTTTCTTTCTTTCTTTCTTTCTCTCTCTCTCTTTTTTTCTTTCTCTTCCTTCCTTCCTTCCTTCCTTCCTTCCTTCCTTCCTTCCTTCCTTCCTTCCTTCCTTCCTTCCTTCCTTCCTTCCTTCCTTCCTTCTTTCTTCATTGATAAAGAGTAGAGCAATTAAGAAAATGGAAATATCAAAAGAATTGCTCCATCCCACTATATCTGCCTCCAAATGTATCTCAGCTTAGCCATTGCTAAAGAAATGAGAATGAAAGAGAAAAACCTGGGGGCTGGTGCCTTTGCTTCATACAGAAATATCTGAGTTTTAATGGTATGACACGGTACGAATCTTTGGCAGCATCATCACTGTTAAATGTCTGTTAAGCATTAATAAAACAGAAGAAGCTCATTTAATATGGCAGTTATACCGGAAACCTTGGGATAATGGTATGTGATGAATCATTGGTGGGCTTTATCAGTGACTGTATATTTTTGGCAGGATAACAAAAAGAGGAAAGAAGCAAGAGTTTATTTTTGTGATCTTCCAGTGGAGTGGGAGAGAAAGAAGAATGTGGCATTTCTGGGGAAATATTTCAAACTTCAAAGTCTAGGACCTTAAGATCTGGTTACTGTTCTCACAGGAGCATTGTCCTGTTGACTGTTTAGACAAGTGTTTACAGCCAAGTTTGTTGCTAAATGTCTGAATTCTGCTGAGGAGACTCTCTTCCTTTCTGTGAACAGAACTCATTTGGATACATTTTTCTCTTTATCTTGTACATTTCTTTCAGTTAGTCATTTCAGTCAAATCCAGCTCTCAGGTTTATTACTCATATTTTCTTGACATTTATAAACTATTTCTTTAGGTATCTGTTACAGCGAATTCAAGACAAGTGTTAAGAACCTAGTATATTTTAGAAAATATTTCATTTCTACTAGTGGATAGTGACATTACATGTATTTTCTTGGCATATTTCAACAACATGACTAACTGTGATCATTTTCCATTTGCCTTCTACAACCATCTTTCTTTTTCTTTTTATATCTCTCCTCCCTTCCCTTGGTTTTTCTAGGAACTTAATAAAATAAATTGAATTAATTCACTCTCTCATGGGTCAGAACAAGAAAGCTTCAGCTTGGTATTTTTATCTCTGATTGGAGGCTGCTAAAGATTTTAGTAAAAACGTGAAAGGCGCCCTTCATAATACCAACATCACACTCAGATATTAAAGAATTAATTATTCACGAATAGTGAACACACCAGAGTATCTGAGATAATATGATTTAGGTGTACAGTGTCTGCGTGCCTCTCCTGCTATGCACCTGTGTTCTTTCCTGTGAGACTTAAGTGGGCGACAGTCGAGAATTAAATATACAGAGTGAAATGCTGTTTGGCTTTTGAGGTTGAGTTGTTTCATGAGATCATGAAAACAGCCCTGGACCAGACTCTGGTATGCAGCTTCCACTTGGAAGTGCTGTATATCCTACAGTAAGTCTCCTCACCTCTCGAGGCCTCTGCTTCTTTATCTACAACAGAGGATGGTTGGATCTTGTTACAGCTTTTGAGTTTGACAATTCTCCCAAATTCTCATTATCCACTGCTCCCTTTCATCTCACAGACACATTCTAAGTCCTTAATTCCTAGACTGCTACCTCATGAGGGAGAGGACACAAAAGCTGGTGACCACGGAATTCCTCTCTGGGAGCGCAGTGTCTGTGCTGCACAGCAGTGCACCTTAAAGGGTGTGCTTCGCATCCCTAGCCCCAGCCCAGTACTGCCTTGATGAACTGGAGCTCCATGAAGAGCCCCAGTTCTGCTCTGTGAAAGAAGCAAACAGTGCCTGAGAGCAGGAGGGTAACTTTATCAGGAAGGAGACGGCGGAGAGGTCAAAGGAGATAAAGCTGGCCAGCAGCACTGTGGCTGGAAGCTGGAGAAGAGGCGAGGGGAGAAATAGTGAACATTCCCCAGTGGCTGGAATGCAAAGATGCTTTGATAAAGATAGGTATTAAATAAATTCTAGCTGTTTGTTGTATGCGCGATATTGTAGCCACTCCCCACCCTCACAACTGTCCCCCCATCTTCCTCCCAAACTCTGCATTAAGTTTACCTTAGTCACAGCCGTGATCCAGTGAAACTTTGGGGAAAAAGGAGCATACAAGTGGGGGAGGGACAATCAGGTTGGTATTCAGCTTCTTGATTCTACGTGGAAAGGAGAGCATCCTCAGGAAGTGAAATGAAAGCGGAAATCAAAAATTTAGACAAAGCAGGAGGTTCCTGAACCAGAGGTTTTGGCAAATGTAAAATGCCTTGCCACTCATTGACCTCTTGACAAGAAACTAGATTTCCATCCTCAGATTTGCAATCATTCAGGCAGCTGCCATTTGTTACACTAAGACAAGCAAACAATAGTTCTACTTTTAATTTTCCAAGAACCAAGAGAACAGACATTGGGATTTTCTTAATGTGCAGATCACATCTTTCAACAGATTCTTTTTCAATTGTTTAATTAAGTGTTAATTTAGAGCCTTTAAATTGAATAAGTCAAAATAATAACTAGTACTTTAAATAATAGCAAGCCTTTGAAAATACAGAGTTTAAAAGGAATACCTAAGTTTTTTAAAAACAAAAAGCAATATCATCTCCTTTATATTACTGTCACAGATAGCCGATGCTAGTCTGCCTTTTAACACAATAAAACATAAATGAGATGCAAAATATATTATATATTTCATTTAAACAGATCCTTTTATTTTTGGCATTCTATTTACCATGGTTTGCAAAACAACAGGTTGTAGACCAAAAGGAAATAATATGTAGTTCACATTAATCTGATTTTGCATGAGCTTCTGCATTAATATCCAGGTTTAATGTCAATATAAATAATACTTTACATTTGATCAACATACTCTATCATTTTGTTCATAGTTAACATACTGAGAGATTTTTCTGAAGGACGGATTGCAGACCAAGATAACTCCTAAGGAGAAAAACAAAGGAGAATATAAT